TTTTGAGAATGATGTACAAATGCGCTTTACACAATTGATGTGTGTATGGATTGCGATAACAGTTGTATGAGCCCCTAATAAAATGTTTAAAAAAAAAAAGTTTAAGTCTCCCATCGCTACTCACCAAAGTAGAATGTAAAAATATTGCCTTTGTCAACTTAACTTTGTTGAACGTAATGCCTCACCCTCCTATGGTGCTAATCTTCTAAACCCAGTTTTTACTCTCTCAAGATATCAGGTTGTAACTAAGAAGTTTACAAAATTTTGCCAACGATTTGCTTTGTTACATCCACAAATATATTTACACCTCATACAATATGTGTGTAAATATGGTGTCTGCCAAACGTATGTGTGGTTGTGGGCATTGCACCTTTCCCCAATCATGCCTGTTCATCTTGCCTGTCTGACAATGTATTGACTTAGAGATTAATGCTTGTTCCTACTGATAATGTGGGATTGTGCATGTAATAGTATTTACCATTTTATTTGTGACTCTTGTACACCTCCCTTTGTCATCCTTTTCTTAGTGATGTGGTGGTGATCACGCTTTCAGTCAAAATCTTATGGATCTCGTCTGTAGCTACTGAGTTCCCTTCCCCTCCCATCCTTAGTAACAGCAAAGATGTTTTTTCCTATGTGCAAACCTTCCCTGGCCATTTTTATAATAGTGGATTAAGACTCTCTCTGTCCTTTTGTTATAACTCATTTCACTTAGCATACTGTTCTTCAGGCTCATCCACGTTATGAGAGGTACAGGGGATGTTTCATTATTCTTTAACCTTGCATAGCATTCTTCTGTGTGCACATACCAGTTAATCAGTTCATCTGTTGATAGAACCTTAGGTTCTCTTCATCTTCCTGCCATTGTGAATAATGCTGTAGTGAACATCGGTGTGCTTACATATTTTTGTGTTCTGATTCTTCTTTAAAATAAATACCTACTAAGGGAATTGCTAACAGAGTCCTGGTGGCATGGGAGAAATAGGGAGCTTTCCACTCCCATAAAAAGTTACAATCTCGAAAACTCGTGGGGCGGGCAGTTCAACCCTATCCTATGGGGTCACTATGAGGCGGCTCGTAACAGCATCGACCCAATGGCAGTGAGTTTGGTTTGGGGTTTTAGAGGAATTGCTGTATCAAATGGTACGTCTCTACGTAACTTTTGAAGGAAGCACCATACTGTTGTACATAGTGGTTGCAACATTGTTCACGTCCACCAGCAATGTATGAGCTCCACACTCACCAGCATTTAGTTTTCTCAACTTTACTGGTATTGCTGGGTGATGTCTCATTGTGGTCTTGATTTATACCTCTCTACTAGCTGATGGTCGTGAGCATTTCTTTAGGTTTAGTGACTGCTCAGATATCTTTCTTGCTACATGTGTGTTCATGTCCATTTTTCAGTTGAATTATTTACCGTCTCATTGTTGAGCTATTGATGCTTCTATAAAGTCTAGAGGTTAGTCTCTTGTTGTCTATGCCCTTGCCAGATAGAAAATATTTCCCCAATATTTGAGTTCTCTTTTGACTCTTTTGATACTTTTAGAAGATCTCAGTCAGCTAGCTTCACTTCTGTTGCCTGTGCATTTTTGTTTATAAATTGGGGACCCCTAAGTTGGGTCCTTTTTTTATGACCATCTTAGCTTTATGTTTTCACATTGAGTTCTTCGATCATCTTGAATTAGCTTCGATAGATGGGGTGAGGAGTTGACCTGACTTCATTTTCTGCAAGCGGCTATCAAGGAGCTCCAGTACTGTTTGTTGAAGAGATTGCCTTTCGGTCGTTTGTGTAAGAGAGCGGTGGTTTGTTGATGACGATGACGATGACGGTGGGTGCCACGGAGTCGGTCGGCTATCAGCAGCCCTGTGCACCACAGAGTGAAACAGGGCCCAGTGCTGCGCCCTCTTCACGATTGCTCTTCTGTTGGAGCGCAGTGTTGCAGCCTCTGTGTCCGTCCATTTTGTCGAAGGCCTTGCCTTTTCCACTGCCCCTCTGCCTTACCAAACACCACGTCCTTCTCCAGGGACTGTGGTTGCTCTCCCCCTACTATCTGGAATACTGAGTTATATGGGGAGGTACTTCCCCACATGGGATTTTTCCCCCAAAGCTATGTTTTTGTTTTTACAGAACAACCTTATCACCTTCAAAATCCTCTCCATTGCCCTTAATATATTTGTAAAATCTGTGATTCCATTCTTGGAAACATTTTTCAAACTCATCTATTTGGATGACTGATAGCACCTCCCTCGTTTTTTTCTTCACCTGTTCTATGTCATCAAATCGCTGTCCTTTCATGTCCCTCTTCATTCGCGGAAAAGAAGTCACACAGAGAAAGGTCAGGTGTGTGGGGCAAGAGAGGCATGCTGTTTTTGCCCTACAACTGCCGCACTGAGATGACTACATACACAGCAGGTACATTGTCATGGTGGAAAAACCATACCCCCGTCTGCCATAAATCAGGCCTTTTTTGTCACACACTGTTAAACTATATTTTCAGAACCTCTAAATAGAAAGCTTGACTAACAAGCTGACCTGGCGGAAAGAACTCCAAATGCAATATAAGTCAACATTTCTGGAAATTGATGGATGCCCAGAATCAGGCTTGTGATCAGCTGACATTTCACTTTTTTTGAAATGAGAAAAACACTCATACACTCACATTTTCCCCATAGTGCTATCCATGTAAGCCATGTTCAACATCACAACAGTTCCTGCGGCATTTTTCCCTAGCAAGAAACAAAACTTCACAGCCACACAAAAAAAATGAGGTTCAAGCAAAACTGCTTTTATGAAAAAATTCACTGTAACAGTGAGAACCTTCCCAGGTGATGCCACTGGGTGCACAAACTCAGAGCAAGTTGCTGGATGCTTGATGCTTGCTCAGCAGGAAGAATGCGTACTGCCAAAGCTCCCCCCAGTGGAGCTTTTTTTCAGTTTTTTTTGGCGTATCCCCTCGTAGTATTTATTTTCACTCTTTTGTGTGTGTTATTTTTTTAATTTATTATTAATTTGGAGTTAATACATATATCATTACATAGTTCAATCACATCAAGTACAGCTGCTACCATAATCAGTTTCCACACATTATTTTCCTTCCTGGACTACCTGATATCGTCTCCCTTTCACACACACACCCACGTATGTTCCCCCCCAAAATAATCAAACAAAAAAAAATTATTTATTTGCTGTCCCTATAGGTTCGTCAATCCTGAGTTCCATATACCGAAAACCAGAACAATATATAACACAACTTCAAGAGGGTGACCCCCAACTACATAACACCTGAGATACACCCTATTCTGAATAAACAAAAAACAAAAGAAAATGTACAGAAAATGTTGAAAACCAGACTAGGTCCCAGCATACATCAGAGGGGGATCAACTGACAAAGTTTTAACTGTTAAGTCAGGTTGATCCCTTTGATATTCTATACTCATCTCTCCAAGGCACTGTGCTTAGTGACCATTTCACTCCCATCCTCAATCATGGATCGAGGGAGATCACTGGAGGCTTATTTCCTAGATAATTCCCACAAATGTATCTTGGGCACTGAGTGTCATCCACAGCCTTATTTCTTGATGTGTGCACTCTAATTTGATAACACTGGGATTCAAAAAGATGCTTTGTATTATTTCATTGTTTCTACGTTTATTGATAATGCCTTTGTGGTTGATTGTGGGAAATGATCCATGGACATTGAAAAGATTGTTACATTTTTGCTGTACACGGTGTTTGATATACGTGTCTAAGAGGTTAAGTTGATTGACGATATTGTTGAGCTCTTCTGTGTCGTTGATGTCTATATTTCTAGGTGTGCGCTTCATTAAAAGTGGCTGTGAAAATGTCCTGCTACTGATGTCATCTGTCCATTTCTCTTTCCAGCCCTACTAGACTGGCTTGATGTTTAGGGCACTTTCATTGGGTGCATAGATGTTTCCTGTGGCTCTGTCCTCTTCAGAATGACATTTTAAACATTATTGCCCTTCGTTATGTCAGAAATTAATATTGTCACTGCTGTACCTTTTTGCTGGCCATTAGCTTGGTATATTTCTTCCCATCCTATAATTTCTTATTTATATTAGTCTTTGTATTTAAGATGAGTCTCTTGTAAGCAGCATTGATGGGTCTTATTTCTTATCAATTCTACCACTCTCTTTCTCTTGGCTGATAGATACATTTAGTGTATTGATATTCAAGGTAATTAATGATGGATATGAATTTGTTACTGTAGTTCTTTTTAATTATTATTTTGGTATTGATCATTTCTTTGTTACGTGTATTTTTCTCTGCTGAGTTCATTTTTGCCTCATTTTATTTTCATTCTTTGTTACTGTTGACGTTGTGTTGTGTTTGCTAAGTCCTTATGCCATTCTCTTTTGGAGTTGGAAGGTCTTTCTTGGTGACCCCCTCTAGCTCATATCAGTCCTCTTCAATTTGTCTTGACATTCTCTCCATTTCGAAGTTGTGTCATTTTACCATCACTCTGCTCTTTTGCTTTGTAATTGTAACAGCGTGATGCCTCTGATTCTGTATTTTTCATCTTATAGCTTATTTTAGTTTTGAGAATTATTTTTCTGGGTTAGTTTCCCAGTTATGTTGCCATGTGTTGAAATCTCAGGTTCTCTGTCCAGAGGACTCAATCTGAGAATGTTTTGTAAGCTTGGTTTAGTTTCACAAATGCTCTTAATTTTTGTTTCTCTGAAGTGCTCTAATTTAGTCATTCAATTTGAGGGACAGTTTGCTGGGTGTATACTTTGTTTCACTTGGCATCTGCCACACCATCTCGGTCCCAGTAGGGAGTCCATGAGGTCTGTTTCTGTGTGGCTCTCTCGGTGGCCGTGCAGTGTGTGTCCCTGCCCCATCCTCCCCAGCCACTGTGTCTGTGATCCCTCTCTTCCCAGTCAGTGTTTCACTCAACTCGGTATCCTCTTCCTTGATGCCCAGAGAGCCAAGATTACCATCTGTCTGAGTTTCCCTCACTATGGGGGTCCAGGGTGGGGGGTCTCTGTTGCACAGGGATTGGGCAAAGTGTGTCACCAGGACACTAGCTTGTCTCCTGATTCCAAGAAGTTCACTATCAAACCCATATAGGAGACCTGTAATAGGCATTATTAAAACTCATCTATGTTAACCCTTACCTTGAGGATTTCTGCAGAGCAGTATTCTGTGGATGTTGAAAATAAAGTAACAAAGAGAACAAGTCATTTCTTAATGGAGGTAGTTTTATTACATCTTGGAAAAATTTAATATTAAAATGGGCTTACATTCTCAAAATGTAAAACTCTACTTGTAATTACAAAGTTCTCAGATTTAAAGTAATACTTCTTCACGGTGAGTCTTTTTATCTGATTCCAGCAATTTAATGAAATCAATAAGTGATAACTTAAAAGATAAAATTACTGCTTCATTGTAAGGAGACTTGTCTCATCAGGGATGCAGAACAAAGAGATCAGAGTTTATGTGGCATAGCTGCCAAATTACTTTACCACTAATTATTCCTTTAATATAGATATCAAAATGAGTTTTCCTTAATGCACTTTGGATCCTAATAATTGTACATAAGTTTATATTTTTAATTTTAATTATTGTAACCAAAGATTTCAGGAAATGTGTTGATTTAACCTAAAACAACAACAAAAATTAATGTGTTAGAGGAATACATATGTAGGTCCCGCTTACTATGTATTTTATTAATCATGTTTTATATTTACATGTCTTTAAATAGTATGTTTTATAACCAAGGTTTTTTTTTTCGTACATCTGGATCAAAATATAAATGTGAAAAAAATTTGCCCGGCGAGCAGATTTGAGGAGGAGGGCTTGTTTGTGACCATAGTGCATGCTGACCTGTGTCCTGACATCAGCTTTCTCATTTGCATTTGGCTTCTGGAAGGTACTACCTCTGCTTACAGTTGCGAGATGACATTGTGTCTGGACGGCTGCCCTGCTCCTTTGTCACCCTTGCCCTGCTGGGCTCTTACACTGTGCAGTCGGAACTGGGAGACTACGATCCTGACGAGTGTGGGAATGACTACGTCAGCGAATTCCGCTTCGCACCCAACCACACGAAAGAACTGGAAGACAAAGTGATAGAACTGCACAAGAGCCACAGGTGAGTCGCAGGAGCCCTGGGCACATTGCATTTTGGTTTCTCTGATGGGAAACATCATGTGTACAAACTCATTCCCAGCATTTACTTCAATACGTTAAGAACAGTCGTCTACTGAGTCTCTACCTGATAAAATCTTGAGATGGATAAGCTCTCTCTCTCAAAGTATTCAGGAGTTCCCTGTAAGGTTTTCTTCCAAACCTGTTCTTTTTTATTCTCCTTCTCCTCTGCCCCTGGGATCGATGCAGTGGTGGTTCTATTTTTTTTTTTTTTTTTTTTTCAGTTCTCAAAGGACCTAGTGGGGAGGGGGCTAGAGCCCGGTCAAGGAAAGGAGAAGCAGCAGTGTGACCCTTGTTTTGTTTTGTTCTCCTACCAGAGGCATGACACCAGCAGAAGCAGAGATGCATTTCCTAGAAAACGCCAAAAAGCTCTCCATGTATGGGGTTGATTTGCATCATGCCAAGGTACGTGCTTTCACTTCAGGCATTTACTTCATGCGACCTTGTTGTTGCTTGTTGTCGCTGATCTAAGCTGGTGATTTTTTTTTCTTTTAGTAAATGAATGCTGGGAATTCAAATCTGTGTTCTCCCTTTCAGCCTTGCTGATGGTAAATGAGCACATTTAACTGTACTGAGGAGTTGAAGAGGGCACAGGCAAAGCCCCAGCTTTCCCGTTGATTAAGACTTGACCACGTAGCTCTTACTTCATCCCATCTTACCTGTCACAAGAGTGTCTCCCACTCTGTGGGGACGTGCCCTGTGCTCCTTAGACCTTCTTCTCATCCCACCTTTGCTGAGTGCCTGGTGCCTTGCAGTCTGCCTGTCCGAAGTGCGTCTGTCATGGAAGATCCAAGTATCACACCTGTGTTGTGCCAGGCCCTGTTCAGGCTTCTGGACATCCCCCAGGCATTAAGTGCATCCTTGTTGGGTTTAAATAACTAAACAACCGACCAGTAGATTATTGTAAGATTTTTTTTTTAATGTTCAACTTAAATGAACAGGTTGAGGATGTCATTGTTGTTTGATAAGATATTGAAGCTGTATCTAGACACAGAACCTTGGAAAGAAAGAAGTAGCGATGAGGCTGTAATAGGACCCCCATTAGGAGGGTCTAAATCGAGCAGCTTTTATTTTGTATCAAACTTCTAGAGTCTCAGTATACGTCCCAGTGATAGAGAATGAGCATGTGGATGACGTCTCTGTTTATACAGTAGCGGAATTGCAGGCACGTTTTGATAAGAAAACTTACACCAGAAAGAGCATCTATCTTAGGGGATATATTCTGGTATTTGAACAATGTTAGAAAGGTCATTGTGCATAAAAGATGGGGCTGTCTCTAATTTGGACTGACAAAATAGCATGCTCTGTAGGAATAGACTTTAAGATCTCTCCTATATGGAAATGTATATGTTACTTCCGGTAGATAAATCAACTGGAGATCAAAAGAACATGCAGTTACCGGCGTCCAGACAGGCAAGTGCCTTAAATTTGTGTGTAAGGCTGAGACACGAAAACAGTTTTAGCTGGCTCTTTTAGCAAGCATCTTTTATCCCGAAGACCAGTGGGAGGAACATCTCTGATCTGTAGGTTCTGTGGATGCTGGAAGTGAAACTGCTCTCTGGACCACACACTGAGATTTCTTTTTCTCTCAAGATTTTTTCCATGGTGGTTGAGTGGCTAAAAGATAAAGGCTGGTTATCTGAGAATTTTAGTGAATCTGCAGCTGATTTTTAATTCTATCATGCGTGCTGATTCACTTACTGCCCAGCAATAAATAAGCAAATAAATAAAAGATTAGGTGATACATTTAACAAAATGAAACCCAGGATCTATCAACATTCCTATCAGTAAAAGTGAAATTATGTAGCACGGCTAGAGCTACTGGATTAAAGTATATGACCGATTTTTTCATCCAGTAATATGATTTAAAACCATTTTTGAAAAAGCAGAGCGAACTAAGGAAGTAAACATCCAGCCTGTTATAAGATTTCATCTGAATATTAATTATAACAAATGATTTGGCTACAGACTCCATATTCTCATGCAGGCTCACACCATCATTTTCAAAAGGAAATTTGCTGAATTGAATTAGAGCTGATTTCCAAGTAGAAGTGAGCTGGCGTCTATTCTGTTGATAGCTCGAAAGGCCCCGAGCTTCAGGATCCATTTAAAAATTCTGAATTGTGATTTCAGACCGTATAAAAAATAAATAAATACCTATTTTAGATGACTATTTCCCATTTTTTTAAAGTTGAACGCTATGTTTTTTTTAATTGTCTCTGCTTGTTTTTTCTCTCTTAATGGACTTTGCTCAGTGTCCATTTGATTCTTTTTTTTAATCATTTTATTGGGGCCTCATACAACTCATCACAATCCATACATACATGTACTCATTGTGTCAAGCACATTGTACATTCGTTGCCCTCATCATTCTCAAAACATTTGCTCTCCACTTAAGCCCTTGGTATCAGCTCCTCAATTTTTCCTACCCTCCCTGCTCCCCACTCCCTCATGAACCCTTGATAATTTATAGATTATTATTATTTTGTCATGTCTTGCACTGTTCGACATCTCCCTCCCTTCACCCACTTTTCTGTTGTCTGTCCCCCAGGGAGGAGGTTATATGTAGATCCTTATAATAGGTTCCCCCTTTCTACCTCACCTTCCCTCCACTCTCCGGTATCACCACTCTCACCACTGGTCCTGAAGGGATGATCTGTCCTGGATTCACTCCATTTGATTCTTAAATGTAGATTGAAATCCACATTAGATATCCCATGGGCTGAGGGATAACGAAGGATGATGTTTGAAAAGGAATGAAAATTTAGGACAACTATGTACTTATTCATTTATTTATTTTAGTGATACTAGATTAGAAGGGGACCAGCTATCCAGTTGTTCAGTATTCCCCACTAACTCAATCTCTGTCAGTGCTGAACCATAATGACCTCATAGGACAGGGTAGGACTGCCCCTGTGAGCTTCCAAACTGCAACTGTTTACAAGAGTAGAAAGCCTGCCCCTCCTGAGAAATGACTGGTGGTTTCGGACTACAGGCTTTGAGGTTTGCAACCTAATGGGTAACCATTATGCCACCAGGGCTCCTCGTCCCCCACTAAAGAGAATGTTAATTGTATTTATTGAAAATGAATGCATATATCCCCCCAAACGACTGCTTTCAAAAAAACCCAAAAAACGACTGCTTTTAATACAAAAGCTTTCTAAAACTATAAGATACAGTAGCAAGTTTGATATCAAAATATTTTTCTGCTGTTGCTTAGCAATGAATGAAATGAAGACTTGCCTAATTTAAAATCTCATTTATTCCTGACATTTTCTTTCTGCATTTACTGTTCTTTCAAAAACACACAAGTTGGTACGTGCTAAACCCTGGGCCATACCAGTAGGATAACAAGAATTAAGTTGTTCCTACTACAGCCCACTTGTGGCGAAGGCAGAGGAGTAGCAGGGTATTCCAGCCGTCTGATAGGGCTGTGCTAGCCTTACAGGAGGAGCCCGGGTGGGGGAGTGGTTATGTGGTGGGCTGCAAACCACAAGTGGTTCAAACAGCAGTCCCTTCCATGGTCCCTTGCCACCCCAGGGCTTGGCAGAGGCAGGTACTTGCATCCTGGATGTGAAAGGTCAGCCAATCATTCCCGCACTTGTCAGCACCTGGTTATAGTGCTTCAAATTGCTCTTTCCAATTAAAGCCCCTGAAATATGGGAGGCAGTTTCTACGCAATGCTGACTTCCTCTCACACTTTATGAAGTTGTAATATTCTGGTTAATGATTTCCACTCTAGAGTAATTTGCTATCTAATGGAGTGATACATTTCCGATAGAAACGATTGTGTTTTAACCCACTTATGTGCTATTTGTAAGCTTACCTTTTCCTCAAAACGAACCAAGAGAGTTCTTTTGTATTAGAAATGTTCATCTGGTGCCTTGTACTGACAAGCTTTTTATGCAGCAAATCCCCACAATATAGATGGCTCCGCATCTCCTGTTTCGGTTCGCCCAGTTCCCCCCACCGGCTGTTTTCGCTGGAGCTGCAGGGACTCCAGGAAGCGGGGGGATGGACAGCCCCTGCCTACGAATGTAGCGGGAGGCCCCAAGCGTAGCTTCCTGTGTGTGATCAGCCCACCACCCTTCATGTCCTTCTAAGCATCGGAGATGAGCACAGGAGACCACCTCACTCCCTCCTGCTCTCTGCTCTCTCCCACCCAAGGCCACCACCAAGATAAAGTTTACCCCGATTTCATCAGCGGTACACATTTAGGAGGCGTAAACTGCACGTGGCCTCTCTCCAGAGCCTTTTGTCACCTCTGTGGTGTCCGCTGAACTTCGGCAGCTGCCTGGGAAATTACTGAACATTTAAGTAGCAACCTGTTCAGCTTGCAATGAGCCCACTTTAAAAAGGAGGGAAAAAGCTATAGCCATGTATGAAATGTTTTTATTACATTAATATATCTCTGTATTAATGTGTGTGAGCCATATTGTTAACTGTGGTGACCCCTGTGCAGTGTACTTATATGTGGGAGGAGTGTGTTGTTGGAGGAGAACATTTATACTGTTTTTAAAACAAAGTATATTTAATTTTTTATAATATGTACATTTTGCTCTAATAATAATGGTACATAAAAACGGGGACTCTCTTTAAAGTAGTAAAACCCAAAACACTCATATGAAACAGCGAGGTTCCTCTTATTAGAAGTTGTGTTAGTGCTACCTTTGGCCAGGGTGGGGAGGGGGAAGGGGTACTTTCTGTTTTGGGGGCGCTGAGGTTATTTTAACAGTGGTGAGGTAGTTTAGAAAAAAATACCAAGAATGATTATACAACTTGAATAATATAATCAGTGCTAATAATATATATGTAGAAATTGTTGATCTGTTTTGTTGTGTATACTTTTTGATACTCTAAAAAAGTTAAAATAATAAAAAGAGAAGAATGCTGCCTTTAGAACCAAGGCTACCCTTGTTCAACTGGGCAAGATGCTTGATGTCCCCATGCCTCAGTTTCCTCATCTGTAAAGTGGAAGTAACAGGCACCTCAACATATCATTCTAAAGACAAACCCTTGCCGCCATGGGTCCAAGGGTGAGAGCAGTGCCTTGTACACAGTAAGTGCCATCTGTGGGTATGGCTGGTTTTATTCTAGTCACATTCATCTTCATAGTCGTCTCTGTGCACGGTGTATTCACAGAACAAGTCTTTCTTTGGCAGCATATTTTATTCAGAATGTCTAATCTCCATGTTGCTAAATACCTGCATTAAAAATAGTTCATTCCTGGTAAGTTTTTCTTTTCAAAATGTGGCAACATAGTTTCCATATTTCAATGACAGGTAGAGGTGATCAGGTAGTAGGTCTGTCATGGAAACTTAGCTCCTGTATTTGGGCAGGAGTGGGAGACAGTAGTAAGACTCTGATGTGTTGTTTCTTGCTACTGTTTTGCAGGACTCAGAAGGAGTAGAAATTATGTTAGGCGTTTGTGCAAGTGGTCTGTTGATATATCGTGATCGCCTTCGAATAAACAGATTTGCTTGGCCCAAGGTTCTAAAAATTTCATACAAACGGAACAACTTTTACATTAAGATCAGGCCAGGAGAGGTAAGTAGGCCTGCCTTTGCATGTACATGAGGGAAATAGAAATATAAACTACTTGCTTGTGAATTTTGAGTTTTATGAGAGAATTTATTATAGGTTGTCTAATAAAAAAATAAATAATACATTCTGTCCTTTTTTATTGTTTCCATTTCCCCCACTGCATACATTAATTGAAAGGTCTCTTAAACATGCATTAATATAAATTCAAGATTTATTATTTCTTAGATATTTCAGGCTTTGGTGTAAGAAAAGCTATGTGAGTAAAATATAGCACTTTTTCCTACCTTTTGTGTTAGGAGAACAAACCTGATTTCACCCCAAAGTGAGTAGATTAGAGATACTGTGCATCCAGGGAAAAGAACGGTTAGAAATTAGCAATGCCAAGTGTAAATTCTAATTCTTTATATCTTCCACAGCCCAGTGTAGTTTTTTTTTTAATCATGGAAGTGTATTCCTGCTTTTTAAAAATCATTGGTGGTAATGGAAGGGTCAAAATGTTCCATTCCGCTCTGCCATCCTCAACAAACTGCCCTGCATAGAACTATTCACCAAATTACCTTTGCTACTATTGATGGTATCAGTCTGGTGGTTTTGTGTTCTTCTGGAGCCCTTGCTATTTAAGATGATTGCCCTCTGGTGGCCTGATGTGTACTGTCTTTGCAATATTGTGCATCTGCCTTAAATAATACTAAGGTACTAGAAAATTAGCTTTTTCACCTTGAAAATCAAAATGGATGAGCATCTGAAATATACATGCGGAAATGCATGAAATCGTGTCGTCCTTGATTTTCCCATCTCACATGGAGAAATAGGGATCAGCAGTATCACCCCTGTGAGAGCACACCCATAAAGTCAGCCACCATTAAAGCGTAGATTCATACAGGGGCTGGTTTCGAGAGTAGAGTAGGAATTTAGGTGTGGCTGATTATGATTTTGCAAATTATTTGCAATGTTTTCGTGTTATTCATAATGCCAAACTTCACTTGCTTTTGTTTTTAAATATAGTTTGAACAATTTGAAAGTACGATTGGATTTAAGCTGCCAAACCATCGAGCTGCCAAGCGCTTATGGAAAGTATGCGTTGAACACCATACATTTTTCAGGTAGGTAGAGATCTTGGGCGGTGGGGGCGGGGAGGGGGGTTCATTTTGTTTTTCTAATGGAGAATTCGAATAATGATAATTATTTTTCTCTGAAAAAGATTGAGAAGACGGTCTTTTCTGTTCCTTCAAGTTCATTGTCATCTCAGGTTTTTTGTGAATTATATAAATTTATATATTATAATCTATTTTATATGTTTATCATATAAATATAGTGTACATTTATATATTCTTATAAACGATCTAAGAATTATAAAAGGACTTCTAAATTTGAAGGGTTTCCTTAACTTGTCTTGTACTTACTTGCCTCATTCCCCTTTCTTTATAAACTGTAGTATCTTATTATTTATCGAAGGTATCCATTTTGGGGGGAATTGTCCAACCCATTCCTTCCTACTTGAAGAATTTCTCAATTTCCTGGACTTCTTTTCTCACGTATAGATCATAAACTTTGTACCTAGAGATAACAGTGTCACTACTTTTCACTGACAGAAGGGCTTGGAGACTCAGTGGTGTGGCATGCTGAAGTGCATCCAGTTCACCACAAGCCTTCTTGGACTTCTGTCGCCTCGACAGTAACCCTAGTTGGTGATGTTGGGCTTTAACCTCCCATGAAAAACACCAGTTCCATCGAGCCTCTTCTGATTCGTGACAGCCCCACGTCCTGCCGAGTAGAACTGAGCCCGAAGGTTTTCTTGGCTGTCATCTTTACGCAATGAGATTGCCAGGCTTTCCTCCTGCAGCCCTGCTGGGTGGGTTTGAACTGCCAGCTGTTCAGTTAATAGTACGCGTACAGTCTGTGCCATTTGGAAACTCTTCCCATAACAGCGTAGAAAAATCAAGGTCACATTCCCCAATATTTAACTTCATAGTCGTTCTTGTTCTTTCCCCCGCTATCATTAGACTGTTATTACCAGAGGCGCCTCCAAAGAAATTCCTCACCTTGGGTTCTAAGTTCCGGTATAGTGGCAGAACACAGGCCCAAACAAGAAGAGCCAGCGCGTTGATAGACCGCCCAGCCCCTTACTTCGAGCGCTCGTCCAGCAAACGTTATACCATGTCTCGCAGCTTGGATGGAGGTAAGCTTCGGCTACTGGCTCTTGATCATTGCTTGTGGCTATTCAAAGAGGAATACGGGACTGCTATGTTCTTTCCTTGACTTTGTAATAAAGTCATTACAGGCTTTCGACAAACAGGGATCCTTTAGATCAGCGGTTCTCAGCCTGTGGGTTTGGACCCCTTTGGGGGTCGAATGACCCTTTACAGGGGTTGCCCAATTCATAACAGTAGCAAAATGACAGTTATGAAGTAGAAATGAAAATAATTGTATGGGTGGGGGTCACCACAATAACTGTATTAAAGGGCTGTGGCATTAGGGAGTTTGAGAACCGCTGCTTTAGATAGTATGAATTGAAGTGTTACTGACATGGCTGAGTGGCAGATGTTTAAGTCAAAAAGAGATGCCTTTGTCAGTCTAATTTCTGTTATTGGAACATTATCTAAAAAAACATAGGAATGATATTTAGGACCGAGAAGCGCAACATTCATATAAGGCATTACCCTATTTGGGATCCAGATGCTTTCGTTCCAGATATGTGTAGTAGTCACATACTCTTAAGTTCATCTAATTTATTTCACTTAGTGGCAAATCCAGGGATCCCTGGTGGCACAGTGGGGCATAGCAGACATGTTCGGCTGCTAACCTCAAAGTCTCAGTTCAAATCTTCCAGTTACTCTGCAGGAGAAAGCTGTGGCTGCTTTCTCCTATGAAAGTTTACAGCCCTGGAATCCCTAGGGAGCAATCCTAACCTGTCCTGTTGGGTCCCTGTGAATGAGAGTTGACTTAATGGAAGTCAGGCTGGGCTGACAAATCCTAAGTGATGAGTAGGTTTGTTTCAGAAAGAAAGCTGTAAGTTAAATTTATCTATTTCTAAAATATGTTTACGAACAAAATGTAGCCTTTCTCGGTCCATTAAATTATAAAGAGTAGAAAGGATAATTCTCAAATAACAGCAAGGAACTCTTAAGTTAAATTGCCCTAATTAATATGAAGTACTGGGAGCGTGGGGCCATCTCTCAGCATATCCGTCTATTAGTCAAATGAGTAAGCACTCACATATGTAGGGAGGTAGTCTTTTCAATAGACTTCTTAGGGATAACATGAGTGTGTTTTCGTGAGTTCTTACTGTTCTGTGTGATGGCTTTATCTCGCTGTCCATGTTCATATGCAGGTGTGCTTTCTGATAGCTAGAGCAACACTGAATATATGGACTGAATTGGGCCCCGGCCTCTCTCTGGGCCACGCTACCTCTTCTGTCGTGCACCCCATAGTCTCAATTCTCCTTTTCCACTTTACAGTGATTCAAGCTATGCCCCCCTGAATCCCCTGATAAAAAGACTTTGGGTTTTGTTGATGGAATCCTTTATAAATAGTTTGTGAAAAGTCAGAATTTCTCCTTAAAGCTATGTTATAGAGCTGTAAGATAGCCAGTTGCTGTCAGGCTGGCTCGCCTCGTGGTGACTCCTGGGGTGTGAAGAGTGATATATTACTCCATACGGTTTCCAGCCCCCACCGGCCAGACAGTTTGTCATACTACGGTGGCTCTGTGTTGCTAGAAGCACTTCTAGACTAAGAACAGACTATAGAGAAGGCATAGACTGCCCCCTTTTGAAAAATTAGCCACCAAAAACCATATGGATAGCAATGGAACATTGTCAGATTCTGAAAGGCTCATGGAGAACAGCAGAACATTGTCAGAAATGCTACCAGAGATGAGCCCTCAGGTCGGCAGGCTCCAAAGGTGGCTACGGGCTGCCCTCTGAACGTAGACTGGACCAGAATGACATGGGTGGAGTAAAGACTTTGGGACTTTCACTTGCTAATGAGGCATGGCTCAAAATCACAAAAAAACACATTTGAACATTTAGTAAAAATTGGAACTTGGAATGTACAAAGTATGAATCCAGGAAAATTTTAAATTGTGAGAAAATCCAATGTACTCCATAGAGACTGCTCCCCATAGGTATTAGTGAGCTGGAATGGGCTCATAACGGCTATTTTCAATCAGTTATTCAGATGGTTTCCTATGCCAGGAGTGACCATTCAAGAGGAATGCTATGAAATGAATCATCCACAAAGACATTTCAAGAGCTGCCTTGTACTTCAGTGCTATCTGTGATAGGGCACTGTCTATTCACATACAAAGAAACCAAATCAATACAATTATTAATCACATTTATGCAGCAACCACCAAAAACATGTTGAAAACATTGAAAAATTTACCAACATCCTACATTTGAAATTTATCAAACATACAATCAATATGTGTTGATAATTATTGGCAATTGAAATGCAAGGATTGGAAATAAAAAAGCAACAGTGGTTGGCCTTGATGATCAAAACAAAGTTGGGTCACATGATTGAATTTTGCAAGACCAATGACTTCTTCATCACAAATACCCCTCCCCTGCCCCCGAGGTTTTTTTTTTTTATTAAATTAAATTTAATTTAATTTAAAAGGCAGGAAAGAAAAACAAGATCAAAATGTATGTCAGAAGAGAGACTGAGTTCCAGAAAAATAGAAGAGACTCTGAAACTTGCTCTTAATCACAGTCACTAAGGCAAATGGAAGCAATGATGCCGCCAAAGAACAAAGAGAAAATGTCAAAGGGCAGCTCAAGAAGACAAAGTCAAATATTGCCATGAAATGTGCATAGCCCTAGAATTAGAAAACCAAAAAGGAAGAATATGCTCAGTATATCATAAAATAAAAGAACTCAAAAAAAATTCAAGCCTCGAGTTAGAATACCAAAAGATTTTATAGGGAAAATATTGAATGATGTGGGAGCAACAAAAGAAGATGGAAATAAATCAGTCGTTATACCAAAAAACTGGTCAACGGGCTAAAGCAGAGTATGTACCCTGGTACAGATAAGAGCTCTGGACATAGAGAATCCAGGACAGATAACCCCTCAGGACCAATAATGAGAGTAGCAAGCGATACCATGAGGTTAGGGGAAAAAGGGGAGCCAATTGCAATGATCCACGTACAACCCCCACCCCCAGGGGGATGAACAACAGAAACAGGTGAAGAGAGACAGCAGACAGTGTAAAATATGAAAATAAAAATAATTTATAAATGATCAAGGGTACACAAAGGTGGGAGGGAGGGGGAAAAAGTGGATCTGGTACCAAGGGCTCAAGTAGAAAGAATATGTTTTGGAAATTATGATGGCAACAAATGTACAAATGTGCTTGAGACAATTGATGTATGGATTATTATAAGAGTTGTAAGAGCCCCCAATAAAATGATTTATTAAAATTAAAAATAATATTAACATTTAAAAAAAACAAAATTATTTCAGGGAGTAGCATATGAGCAAGAACCAGTGATGCTGAAGGAAGAAGTTCAAGCTGTACTGAAAGTGTTTCATCTAGAACAAGCCTCCATTAATTAATAGAACACAAATTTAAATGTTTCAACAACCTGGTGAAGCACTGGAAGCACCTATTCTTCTATGCCAGAAAATTTGGAAGGTAGCTACTTGGCCAACTAAATGAAAGGGATCTATATTTGTATCCATTCCAAAGAAAGGTGACCCAAATGGAATGCTTACATTGTGGAACAATATTAATATCACACACAAGTAAAATTTTACTGATAATCATCTCACAATGGTTGCACCAGTACATAACCAGGGAGCTGCCAGAGATTCAGGGCAGATTCAGAAGAGGTTATGGAACATGAGATACCATTGCTGATGTCAGATGGGTTTGGCTAAAAACAGAACACCAGAAAGATATTTACTGTGTCTCATTGACTAGGCCAAGGCATTTGCTGGTGCGGATCATAACAAATTATGCGTAGTCTTAAGAAGAAGAATTGGAATGACAGAACACTTCATTGTGCTCATGCAGAGCCTGTACATGGATTAAGAGGCAGTTGTGGAAACTGAACAAGGGGACACTGCATGGTTTCAAACCAGGAAAGCTGTGTGTCAGGGTTGTATCTTTTCACTTACTCGGCTTGTATGCAAATCATCAGAAAAGCTGGATGGCTGAAGAAGAATGTGCCATCAGGATTGGAGGGTGGCTTATGAACAGCCTCGATGTGCAGATGACACAACTCCTTGCTGAAAGCGAGGAGGACTCGAAGAAGGACTTGCTGATGAAGATCAAGAATTGCAGCTGTCAAAATAGACTACAACTCGCTGTAAAGAAAGCCAAAATCCTCACAACTGGACCAATAGGTAACATCAAGAAAAGCATGTTGTCAAAGATCTCATCCTGCTTGGATCCGCAATCAGTGGGCATGGAAGCAGCAGTCAGAAATCAAAGGGTGCATTCCATTGGGTCAGTCTGCTGCACAAGACCTCTTTAAAATGCTGAAAAGCATGCATGGTACTTTAAGGACTAAGGTGCTCCTGACCCACGCCATGGTATTTTCCCTTGCCTCGTGTGCATGGGAAACTCGGACATTGAACAAGAAAGACTTAACGGGATCCCATACATTTAATTTATGCTGCTGGTGAAGAATAGTGCAAGTACTTTGAACTGACCAAAGAACAAACACATCGCTTTTAGAGGAAGTACAACAAAGATAGGGGGATTTGCCTCAGATACTTTGGGCATCCTCTCAGGAGAGGCTGGTCCCTAGAGAAGGACAGTGTGCTTAGTCTGGGAGAGGGGCAGAGACAAAGAGGACGCCCCTCAACAAGCTGCATTGATAGAGTGGCTACAGCGATGGGCTTGAGCATAGCATTTGAGCTTTGTTCAGTTGTGCATAGGGTCACTGTGAGTCAGAACCACCTTGATGGCGCCTCACCACACGGCTTTCAACGGCTGCTCGGGTGTCAGAGGTAGATTGGCCAGGCCATTTGTCCATGGTGCCTCACCTCAATAAATCCACATCCAAGTCCAATCCAACTCTATTAATAGCTGGCAAATGGTTGAAACTCTTCAGGACTCCACTTTAGCCATCTTAGTCATTTCTTGAACAATAATGACATTGGTAATTACCCTAACTGGTTTTTATTGTTTTTGACTGACCCAGGAAGTGCATTAGCGTTGTGTATCTGCCAAGTGTTTCCCGTTTGCAGAGTGTCGAGCCTGAAAGCCATGTCTTTGGAATAACATGCACACGAGGATGGTTTATAGTTAAATGAGGGTACTGAGATCTCTCTACTGGCACTGCAGCTTTTCTTTATGGTGGTTGTCTCCTTGACTCTCCTCTCTCCTCTAGAGTATCTGAAGTTAACTTCATTTCTATTTTCTATGAGTAAATGTTTGGGTAGCTTGTATAGCACCACACCTTTCCCCCACCCCTCTCCTGACTGAATTCAGTGATGTTCACACAAGGAAACACATGTGCTGTGCTGTTTCCTTAATGATTTTGTGTGTGTTAATGACTGCTGAGAAGACAGAAGACAATTGTGAAATATGTGTGCCAGTTTCATGCTGTGTCTTCCTCCCTGCCCAAAAGTGACGTTAGTATGTGTTGTCTCTCGCTCGCTGGGGTCCTGCCATGTCGAGTGCCTGCCCTGCTGCTGCTCAGCTGGGTGCCGACGCTGCTTGGTGGCACAGAGGCTGCTGTTTGCAAGGTTGCATCTCATTTAGAGAAGCCGAACTGCTTCACAGGCAGCTGTCTCGTGAGTTTTTTCAGCAGGACGAGGATACATGTGCTTAGTGAAATAAATGGCTAGCCATTTTTAAAAGGTTTCAGCATCCTATCTGATGTTTAGATTTTAATGTTTTCTAAACTGTCAATGCAGATAATAATGTACTTAGCAGTTAGCTACCATGGATTTGAAAAGCAGCATTTGAACATTTCAGTAAATTTCCTGGCATCTGAACCCCGAGACTACAGGGGTACCAGATTTTTAAAACGTAACTGAATCAAGCATCTTTTTCACTAAGACATTGTAGCTGTGCTGAAAGGCTGTGTCTCATATCTCTTATGTTTGCATGCTTGTTTTTGCATGGATTTCAGTTAGCAACTTTGTTCTTGTCTTCCCAAAATACCTGTGTTAGAGATGATTGTGTGTATGTATGGCACAGGGTATGGTTTACAGCACAGCAAGAATTAAATTATTTCTGGACTTCTCTTGAACAGAGTTGCTATCTGCATTTGTTGAGATTCTCTGCCAAGATATTTTCATTATTGTAGAAATAGAACTAGCTCTTTCAACCATTATTAATACAATGGTAATATCAAAAGCTATTTGGTGCATGACTATCCAAAGCTTTGCTCAAAGATGAATGCACTCTAATAGGTGTCTACTGCCTGTATCACAGCTAGCGCTGGAACTTGGTACTAGGTGTCTGGCTCCTTTGCCCAGCTGTTACTCTGTGGGGTTAACAGGCATGGCTGCAGCTCAACCTCACCTCCTTCCACTCACCCCACCCTGTGGGACCCTATCACTGGCCAGCCTGAGAATGATGGCAACAGAGTAGTTTCAAGAGATAAGCTTTCCAATAGTTGTGCAGCACAGTTACAGGTGATACAGATAGCTGAACTCATGCTAGTGCTTAGCTGAAGGAACATGCAGAGCTGCTTCATACCAGTTTCAAGATAAGCCTGGCATTTTGGACTTGTTTTTAGTTTTTTAGTAATAGTTGGTGGTGTCCATCTATCTTCCAAATTAACTATTTCAGATTTTATCTCTTCAATTGTATTTGCTTTTAGCATCAGTGAATGAAAACCATGAAATATACATGAAGGATTCTATGTCTGCTGCAGAGGTTGGTACTGGCCAGTACGCGGCAACAAAGGGCATCTCTCAGACCAACTTGATCACCACTGTGACTCCCGAGAAAAAGGCCCAGGAGGAGCGTGATGAGGAAGAGGACCGTCGGAAAAAGGCAGAGGAAGCCACGCCTGTCACTGCAGCTCGGCATGAGGGAAAGGTATAGCTCCAGCTGTCTGCTCCAGCTGCACAGGCTTCCTACATCACTAATTCTGAGGCTACCAACCAGGGATGTGTTGAGTCCCGGTAACACATAGTTCTGTTCAGAACTGCCACATCCCTACTGTCCATTTTTAAACGATTCTTCTTGTTTCAACATTTTTCTTCTGAAAGATACTTTTAGTTTAGTGATTTTTTTTTTTAACAACTGGCGAGCTTTGTGAGACTTTCAACAGCTGTCTTGTATGTATATCTGAAAAGTGCTTTTCTTGGCTGATGACATGTTCCATTTGGGCTCATATATCAGAACTTTCGATAAAGCTGTTGTGTTTCTGGCCCCCTCCTACCCAAACCCTGTCGATTATTCTAGCTGTACAGTCATCATGCTGCCATTCTTCTGACTGCCCGACAGGGTGTAGCCTGTTTATCTATATACCATTTCCTTTCTTAAGTCTTAGTCTAGTCTAACTATCGAAAGAAGGGTTGGTCTTGTTTTGACCAGTGATGTTAGAAGAAGGTTGCACAGGAAAACAGAAAGTGAACCTGGAAGCAACTTCTCCAAGTGTTTCATTCATGATATTTTGTGGCTTCATTTTATCCAGAGTGAAATTTCTTTATAAACATGCTGTTTTTTAATTCCAGCGATCTCAGTAGCTAACCCTATAAGGCAATTTTTAGCACAAGAATATGAAAATTAAAAGACAGGTTGGGAAGCTTATACGTGTTATTAATGGGGAAATAAGTGACTCTTGGAATGGACAGAGTACAGAGCAAAAGCAAATAGCATGCTGATATTTGTCCAGCCAAAAAGTTAGGTTCAGAAATGCTCTTGCACAGGGTTTCTTCGAATGCAGATTACCATATATCCTCGAGTATAAGCTGACCCAAATATCAGCCGAGGCACCTCATTTTACTACAAAAACTGCATTAAAAATGTGCTGAAAAATTCGGTTTATACATGAGTATATATGGTACGTATTATTTAGGAGGGACGCACCACCTGCTATTCTATGGCAATATTTTCCTGTTGACAAGGATTTAATAGTTACATATTAATGGATAGATCAACAAATGTTTAACGTCTTTAGTTACGATATTCCAAGTGACTCAGATTCATAAGTGATAGCTAGGAAATTTGGATCCTTCTACTGTTAAAATGTACCTAGTTCCTTTTCCGTTCCACTAAGGGAGATTTTAAATAGGACATGGTGTGCCTAAACAGTAAATGTGTGGCTTTTATACTTATGTAGTTACTGTCAGATTTCTGGGAATCACCCATGCTAACTTGCGACTCACATGGATGTATAAATATGATTTGTGTGACACATAAAAGTGGGTGATTTTCTTGCTGCACAAAAATCGCTCCAAGCAGTTTCATTTTATTTAAAAAGATCATCAATATGTTGGCATAAAGCACAGTAGTCAACTGTCTCCACCTTGTTGCGTTTTTGTCACTGCAAAATAAAGGCAAACCACTCCCTTCATCTTCCTGCATCTCTGAGAAGCCAATGCGTTGACCAAAATGTTTTCAGAGAGCTGAAACCTAGTGCTTAAAGAGGCTGTTTTTATTTCCCGTAGCGCAAAGCTGTGTACTCAGCCTTATTGTAATAAGCAACATGGAAGATTGAACCTTAATTTTCTTCTTCTGCATCTTCAGAAATAAACACGCACAAAAAACTTTTATCTTGATATCAGATTGACTATTGGATTGTGTGATGTAGATAAAGTGCCAATAAAACTGTTAAAAAATCTTTAAAAAACCTTCAATGCCAGCTACTCAGTTCTGACTCATAAGGACCCTGTAGGACTGCACCCTCTGAGTGTCGGAGACAGGAAATCTTTATGGGAGCAAATAACCTCATCGTTCTTCCGTGGGGCAGCTGGTGGGTTCTAACTACTGAACTTACCATTAGCAGTCCACCTCGTGACCTACTTTGCCACCAGTCTGCCTACAAAGTCACATGGAGCATACTTCTTTTTAACCAAAAGGAAAATGTATTACAGGTTCACTTGAGAGGAGGGCATGTTACATCGGGGGATTATTGCCCTTGGCCGCTAAGAGATGAATGTGTCTTCTGCTGAAATTAGCATGTACGTTTTACAGGAGTCTTCGTTGAATGAGATTTGTGCAGGTTCTGATTTATAATGCAGTCCTCATGTCAAATGTGACTCAGGAAAGGCATATTGGCCTCAAAGTAAAACAGCAGGGAATCTTCCATAGTCTAATATGTCCATAATAGTTCATCATTTTATTTGTGCATTTTCTTAGCCTCTGCCTCTAAAGCCGAGGTTGGATAACTGCTGCAAAGCAGGCTGGGTAATCCCCATGCTATCAGGTCGCTAGGCAGACACACATACACAGAACTTCACAAGAAAGCAACAGAAGTCTAATTCTCTCCAGGCTCCCTCTGACCTCATCCTGAACTCCCTAGACTGTAGCAGCTTCCTTCCGCTGCCCAGGTGGTCAGGTGGTCGGGAGTGTGTTTTGCCTGCTTGTTTGCCTTCTTAGCAGTCCCTGCTCCGCCCAGAGAAGTGACTTGAGAAATGGAGACTACTGCAGGTGTCCAGAGAGAACAGACGCTGGCCTGACTTTACCCACAACAGCCCCCGTTCACATTTGTGGGAAAGGTTGCCTTTGTTATTTCATTCCGGGCTCAGATCAAGTGATCGAAACCTCCTGTTTATCTGCTTTTTAAAAAAGAAAAATGGAAAATTGTTCGTTTTATCTGAGGACTACAAATAATATAAAATAGCACTTATAAAACATTGTCAGAAAATGCATTCTTATGCTAGTTAGCTTGTTGAAGCCACTCACCTTAGATCAAGTTCCATTTACAGCTTGAATACAGGAGCCAGAATGAAACTGAAGTTTTCAAAGGCGCCTCAGTTCTTGGTGGGAGGGTCAGGTTCCTCAAATGTCAACCGTTGAGTCTCTGGGCATAGCCTTATCGCATCGGAGTGGGGCCAGAAACACTCGGGTCTGATAGGGAGGCAATTGGTTAACCAGGGGAGGGGCTCATGCTAAGCACCTGGAAAATAACCTAAAATTGGGCTTTTTGCAGATCAGAAAAAGGTTATTGAAAGTCTTCATTTCAAGTTGCCAAGAGACTGACTTTTGTTCTTAAAACCTTGTCACTTTCTAGAATTGTGGGTCAAATGATTTTTTTTTTTAATCATGTAAACAGGTAGATTTGCTCACAAATGTGCCCTGTTCTGGTTCTATCTTTTTTAAGCCACATGTATTTGCTGGTCTAAGGAGAGAATTGTAGCCATTGGCAACGACTTTGGCATAGCTTAAATACTTGAAGACCTGTGAGCAACAGCCTTTGTGCGAAAATTCTTGTTTTACGACTTTATATTGATACCCATAAGAAAATTAACTAATTGCAGTTTTCTTTTTGTCCTTTTGCACCTCTGTTTGCTGCTGTCTCTGTCTTTTTCACATCAGTCACCTGGGCTCAGCACTGACTCATGCCTTCCGTCACCCCCATCAGCATGTAGCGCCCCTGCATCTCCTGCAAAGCTCCGCAGGAGATGCAAGGAGAAGGACCGCGAGCCCTGTAAAGACCCCGTGCCGATGCGCGGCGAGCCTGCCCTGGACACTGATGCCAAAGGGAAGCCTTACCTGGGGGATCCAGAGGTGGCTTTTAGCTACAAGCAGCCAGCCGGCAAAGGGGCGACCCTGTTTTCCTTCTCCTTGCAGCTCCCCGAGTCATTCCCCTCTCTCCTTGATGATGATGGGTACCTCTCTTTCCCCAACCTCTCTGAGTCCAGCTTCCTCCCCCAGAGCTTGCAGCATTACCTCCCCATCCGCTCTCCCTCCCTGGTGCCCTGCTTCCTCTTCATCTTTTTCTTTCTGCTCTCCGCCTCCTTCTCAGTGCCATATGCCCTCACTCTCTCCTTCCCTCTGGCTCTGTGCCTCTGCTACCTGGAGCCCAAGGCGGCCTCCTTGAGTGCCTCACTAGACAATGACCCGAGTGACAGTTCAGAGGAAGAGGTGTGTACCTCGGCATAGAACACGTGGCCCTCGTGTTCAGTGCTTCGGTCCAGAACGACGTCAGGCCGTGGCTGCGATAGTGGTCCTACTTTCAGAGCCTCATTTATTGTCTGTGCCAACGTGTGGAGAGGTTGTGTGTTGGGGGAGGACAACAGGCCCCAGGGTTAGGCACAACACCTTGTGTGTGGAGCAGCTTGCGCCACCCAGAATCTCTCTGCCGCCTGCTCGCTGAGTGTCACGTGTGATGAGGACTCAGCTGACCTCGATCTGAATTAACTCGTAAGTTAGGTGGAATTCACTCCTAAGTATTAAGCTAACGGTTGATAGGGTTATGTACACCAATATTAATCATGGGAAGAGGATATTATCATTCACTAAAATAAATTACGTATAAGGTAGACTTTTAACAAGATTTGTGGAGTGTTACAAATATATATAGATAGTCTTCTCTGTGCTCTGGATACGTGCTATTCAGAGGCTAGGGAAGGAAGAGGCTCCCACTGCAGAGAAGATATTAGTGTCCTCCAGGTACATTGTCAAAACGGCACCCACCCCGCCCCCTGGAGGTTCTCAACCTCCCTCACTGCCCTCTTGATCGTCACTGCCAGGCTGTCGTGGTGTATCAGGTCCAACTGGTGTGCTGGGCCAGAAGGAACATCTAGACCAGTGTCAACTGCCCACACGACGTCAGTAATCTGGAACCTGAAACAGTCCCAGCAAGAACGCAGTGGTGTTTAGGTTTCTCTCTGTTATACACATGGGCTGAAATCTCATCAGGACCAGCAGGGGCAGTGTGCATATTGACGACAGTAGTGCTGTCAGCTCCATGTATACCCAGAGTTCTTGAATGGGGCAGCTGGTCAGGTCAGAGAAGATGGACAGGCCTCTAGAGAGAGAGAGGGCAGATCTCAGGCTCGCCCCTGCACTGGCCACCTAGTGGGCTCCCATCCTTCATCATGCAGCTCAGAGTGCTGCTTGCTCCTTTGACCCCTTTTACCCTCGGTGCGTGCAGCCCAGCGATGGCCCAAACAACAGCTTCTCACAGCACCAGGGAGGAAGAATGGGTGCTGCCCACCCTCTCCCAGGGCTCACTCAGCTGTTCCTGGGGGAGGGTTTCTTGTTTTTTTTCCTAGTTGGGAAACACCAGAAAAGGAAAGTCTATTGAGTGTTGTGCTCAGCTAGTAAGGCAGAACTTGAGCTGCACCTGGGAGTGTATAGAATCACAGGGTGTGTGTGTGTGTGTGTGTGTGTGTGTGTGTGTAGCAAGTTTAAGCTTTAACATGTGGCAGTGCACTGGTACCATTTTCAAGGTGCCTGGCATCCCTCTGACCCATTGGGGGGGGGGGGGGCAAGTTTAAGCTTTAACATGTGGCAGTGCACTAGTACCATTTTCAAGGTGCCTGGCATCCCTCTGACCCTTAACACAGGGCCTTCAAAAAGTTCATGGGGGAAAATGAAACTCAACGAAAATGCAATTTTTTCCACAAACTTTGAAGCTACCTTGTACACACACACACAATTTTCCATACATAAAGTGTAATTAGTTTAAATCTTACACTTTAATGTCACTATTTCTCCCAGTGGCCATATTATCAATGTAGGTCCAGACCATACTGCAATGAAGAACCCACTATTATCTGCATAGTACTGATTTACAGTATGAGCTGATTTCCATCCTAGAAATAAATATTTCCTTATTAATGGGGTTAGTCATTGGGCTGTCAATAAAATTTTTAAAAAGAATAACTTTACGCTTTCCTAAATTCCTATAACTGTTTGAACTCTTACATAGCAAACCACCTAGATCTTGTGCCTAATCCAGGGTGTCCATCTTGTTGTAATCAATGCATGAGAATTAATGTTAAACTTGGGCATGTCTGCATTACATTGGCAAAACAAATCACAGCAGTTAATTGTTGCAAGCTAGGTAACCTGTGATTAGAGTATCCCAGTGCATAACTCTTCTTATTGTTCCAAACCCCTGAGACCATGAAGTCGGTCTGGCAGCTGCAGTTCCCTCCCTCCTCTGTAGCCAGACTGAGCCGATTACACCTCTGTCGTGCTCTACGGCCTCACACTTCTTATCTGACCAGCTGCTCAGTAGCATCTCTTAACCACTCACATTAAGGGCTCTGCGGTCTAGCTGAAGTTGAGACAGAGGATTCAAATTGAGGTCATTCTATTTTCTAAAAAGTGCCATTTGCTAGCATGGCCTAGTTTACCCTTACGGCCTCAGCTCTTTGGCAGCTGAAACTGGGTGACTTCTTAACATACATTTCAGCTGTCATTTTTTCCAAAATCATGTGTGACTACCTAATTTTTGAAAACTATTTTACCATTCTGTTTACGTTTTTTCACGTGTCAAGATGACTTACAAATTGGCTTCAACCTCTCTCAAGATGAAATCAGGTTAGAAAGACTGAATCATTGCCAACACAAAGCCGTGGGCCAGTCTTCTTTCTGGTGTGCTCTCCCTATGGCACAAACAAAGTAGTCGAGGTCAGATCATCTCCCAGGAAGCCCAAGATGAAGGTAGCTCTCTATTCTATTGAATATAATTTCATGGAATTTTCTAGATCACTTCTTTTAAATGCAAAATAATAGTGGAAGATAAATTCAAATCTAAAGGAAAAAATAATTTGGTCATCATTTTTTGTTTTTAACCGTTTAGACTAAAAGCATAGTATCATCATAGTTCACAGCAAGTTACACATTTTGTACCTGAGATTAGCCATAGTACATTGTGTAAATAAAATTGTGTAAATAAATTCCTCCTTCATTATTTTATTTATTACTTATTCAGGCATTATTCTTGTTAGTCAACTCACTGACAAGATGCCAGATGAGAAATTAGAGGGATTTTAGCCTAAACTGTGTATGTGTAGGTAGGGAGGAAAATAGTCATAACAATATGACATGCTAACAATATAATAAAATTGTACATCGGACCTTGTGTGAAGCACTCACTATTAATGTCCATTATCCTGGACGAAAAAGGTTGCGATTGTCCCCATTTCATAGAGAAGAAACAAAAACAAATAGCGACAACAAGGAAAAAACCACCTGAACCCATCGTCTTCAGGTTGATTCTAATTCATAGCAAACAATATATGATTTCCAAGTCTTTAAATATTTACAGTATCCGAGAAGCCTCATCCTTCTCCCCTGCAGCAGCTGGTGGGTTGGAACTACTGACCTTGTGATTAGCAGTCCAGAACTTACCCCACATTGCTCCCTCCTTACGGGAAAAGAAACTGGGTTGAAAATACTAAATTTTCCACAGGGTTGCATAGCAAGGATTTGAGTTCCTGCCAGTCCAACTTCAGAGCTTCATTCATATCTACTGTCATTTCTAATGCTTACGTGCTGGGAGAGTTGCTGGTGTAAATTTCAAAACCATAAAGGAAATACTTCTACATAGCGGGAAAAATAGTTTTAAGAACGATGGTTTTAGGCATATCTTACCTCAACAATTAGCACATTAAGCACAAGCTATTATTGATATTGAATGCCTAGGTTAGATTTCTTGGCGTTCTTCTCAGTGCTTCAGTTGTAAAATGTCTCACTTTTAAAGAGTCTGTAATTCTTCTTAGTAACTCAAACTGACCTTTTCCATAGGCTGTCAATCAGTGAAGCTAGACTAAGACCCATAAGCAGTGTTCACCCTAATAAGAAAATTACTAGTTCCTTCCCTTTCCACTGTGGTTACCTGCGGTGCTTGGGATATGAGAAATTTGTCAGTGTGCTTTCTTGACCAGCCTAAAAAGTATTTCCCATTTGGGCTTAACAGCAAGGTTGCCAAGATTGCATCTGTGGGAGAATATGCCAAGCATGGTCCTGAGTCCTTTCCTTTTAGGAAGAAATAGATAAAATGAGGCTCTGGGGTGGTGCCAAGAAATCCCTCGCCAGTTATGTAGACACAAACAATTCTATCCAAGATTCCCCTCTGGATAGCCTGGTCTTTGGAGGGAGACACTGGTTTAGGAGGTAGGTTCTCAGACTTAGCACTCCAGGTTTGATTTTTGCTTTCAAAACATTCAGCACAGATCTCTGATCAAGGGAATGTTATTAGTGATTAGGTTGATGTTTATGAAGGAGCAGTCAGTATCATAGTGGGGTACTTAGATGTCTTAATGTCAGTGCCCATACCTCCATTCTAGACAAGAGAAAAATAGCATTTGTTGTGTCCCATAAAGTCTATGAAACAGGTTAAAACCAGTTCTGAAATTGTCACTGCTGGAACTGTCCAGAAAGCCGAGGCCCTGTCAATGCTGTGGTTTGTTTTATTTGCTCCCAAGTAGATGTCTCTCTGTTTATTCTTATTATTTTTTGCTTCGTTTTAATGATATTTTTTGGAACAAAATGTTTGAATATATACGTTGGATATAGTTCTTTATATGGGAGGGTGGGCAAAAGAAACCCAATACAGAGACTAAAAATTATCTCATTTAGCAATAATACTAGAAAAAGTATTTGTTATTCATGTAGAAGATTTATGCTGGTGAGTTACCGGCATGTTTTTTTCATAATTAGTGGGTAATGCAGACATCCTGATGGTCGTAAATGGATGTAAATGATCAAAGCAGTTTAAATGAGGGGCTGAAAGTCTGATGACTGTTATAGTAGCTTTTTATTTGCATTTAAATTCATATTTCAAATGTGACATCTGGCTAGAATTTTGAAATATACCTAAATATCAGTTTTATTTGCATTCAACATTATTAGGAGATTGTTTTTTGGTGTCCTAGGTAAAGGGGGAGGGAAGAGACAAATTGGGTTTCCTGAGCTAAAAAACCAGGTGGGTCTGGCCAATACGGTCCCTGAAGGCTGCATGGGCCTGAGTCTTCCTCTGAGTCTGCAGAGGTGAATGAGCCTAGCACTGGCCTTTCCTTCACTTGTACTTGGACCTGCATTCTTGAGGGAAGGTAGTATGGTGCAGATCACAGAGATAGGGAATGAGCTATTGGGCCTGTGCCATGTACCTTGTGTAACGGATGGGTTTGTTTTCTATTTCTGCCTTCTTCCTGGAACCCAATCGCTTGTGTAATCAATAGACTGACAGTGAGCGGACAGATACTGCTGCCGATGGAGAGACCACTGCCACAGAGGTTGGTACCCAAAAAGGACTGGGGGTGGGGCAGCCGGAGTCGCCTAGAGAAATGCCTTGTGGGGAACTCGCTACTGAAGAACTTGCTGAGTAATCTAACTTTTAAACAACCCACAGAATCAAAACCATGGCCATCGAGTCAATTCAGATTCATAGCATCCCTATGTAGAGTTTCTGTGGCTGCAAATCATTATCGGGCGGACAGTCTCATTCTTTTCCCAAGGAGCAGCTTGTGGGTGTGGACCTCAGACCTTGGTGTGAGGTTAACTCTGTCTGCTAAGTGTAGCAACTCATTTTTGAAAACCATTTGTGTAAAATTTTATGTATATTTATATGGTATACGAGGGGTACCCAATAAAAACTGGAAAAAAGCTCCACTGGGTGGAGCTTTCTTAGCATACACTTTTCCCATTAGGCAAGCATCCAGCAACTTGATCTCAGTGCACCCAGTGACATCACCTGGGAAGGTTCTCTCTGGTCACCGTCAATTTTTTCATAAAAGCAGTTTCCACTCCAACCTTGTTTTTTGTGATGACTGATTTAAGAGAACAGTATGGCTGTGAAATTTTGTCTTGGGAAAAATGCTGCACAAATTGCTGTGATGTTGAATACAGCTTACAAGGACAGCACTTTCTATGGGGAAAAACTCAGTGTACGAGTGGTTTTCCCATTTCAAAAAAGGTGAAATATCGATTGATGACAAATCTTATTCTGAAATGTCTGTCAACTTTCTGAATGGGAGAAAATGTTGACTCGTAGTGCATGTGGAGTTCATTCCACCAGCCTGTTAACCAAGCTTTCTATTTAGAGGTCCTGAAAAGATTGTGTAACAGTATGTGACAAAAAAGCCCTGATTTGAGGCAGAAGGGGGACTGGTTTTGCCACCACAACAATGCACCTACACAGCCATCTCAGTGTGCCAGTTTTGGGCAAAAAATAGCATGCCTTTCTTGCCCACGCACCTTACTCACCTGACTTCACTCCGTGTGACTTCTTTTTGTTTCTGATGATGAAAGGACAGTGATTTAATGACATAGAAGAGGTGAAGAAAATATCAAGAGCAGTGCTGTCAGCCATCCAAACAGATGAGTTTGGAAAATGTTTCCAAGAATGGAATCATAGATTCGACAAATGTATTGTTTAATGGAGAGTACTTTGAAGGAGAAAGGTTTTGTAAAAATTTAAATACATGGCTTTGAAAAATATTCTGGGTTTTTTTTTGGGGGGTGCCTCCTCGTATATCATATATGTATATGGAAGGAGCTCTGATGGTGTAATGGGTACACGTTGGGCAGCTAACCACAAGGTCCACAGTTCAAACTCACCAGCCAGTCCTTGGGAGAAAGACTGGGCTTTCTATTCTCATAAAGAGTTAAAGCCTCGGAAACCTACAGGCAGTTCCATTGTGCCCTTATATAAGGTTGCTGTGAGTCCGCATTGGCTCGATAGCAGTAAGTTTGGTTTTATGTGTGTAAGGAGCCGTGGTGGCACTATGAGTTTTAGGCATTAGTTAGCAGCTTGAGCCCACCAGCCTCTAAAGCAGTCTGCTCCCAAAAGGCTTACAGCCACAGAAACCTGGTAGTCACAATCCGCACAATAGCGGTCAGTTTGAGTTTGACTCTGTAACTCTATCTGTATGTTCATAAGGAGCCCTGGGGTCATAGTGGTTAAGTGTTGGGCTGCTGACCACAGGTCTGCAGCTTGAAACCGCCAGCTGCTCCCGGGGAGGAAGATGGAGCTTTCTACATTCTAAAAGAGGTCCACTCTTAGAGACTCAGAGTGCAGTTCTCCCGTGTCCTGTAGGATCGCTGTGAGTCTGCATTTACTCGATGGAAGTGAGTTTGTTTCAGTTTTATATATTGATCTCTTCTTTTAAATGTATTTCTCTATCCCACTTGGGTGGATTTCTATGTACAAAAGCTATGATGAATGAGAGAATGCAAGTCACAGCTCTTAAATTGAATATGGATATATTTTTAAGCCCTGTTTGATTTTTTTAAAAAATCATTAAGAGTAAAAGTATTTCTTTCACTTTGGGATACAATCTAGGTCACACATTAGAAATAAATTCTAAGAGAAAGGAAATTAGCAAATGACTGTTAAAACTTTTTGCTGGGAGGGGAATGTCTATAGAGGCTTTAAATTGTACTATATTGCATGTAAAGTACACGCATATGTGTAACCAACAGGTGGATTGTGAAGGTTAGAAAGACGCAGCTGTGAGTCTGTGAGACACCTGAGAATCAGATGCTCCCAGCGCTGTGTTACAGTTACCCAGGTACTCCAGTCACAGAGGCAGGGCAGCCACGCCGCTCTCAGTGGCAGATGAGAAGACTGAGACCCAGGTAGACTCAGAGTTGTTGAGGCCACACTCTAGGATTGTGGCTTTTCTCATATATCCATGGGGACGCCCTGGCTGAAGCACCAAAACTCACTGCCATCCAGGCAATGCTGACCCATCACAACCCACTGTGGGTTTCCGAGACTGTAACTGTTTACGGGAGGAGAAAGCCCAGTCTTTCTCCAGCAGGGTGGCTGGTGGTTTGGAACTGCCAACCATGAGGATGGAAACCCACCCTGTAATCACTATTCCACAGTAGTGTTTGCTTTACACAGCTTTACATTGCATGCGCATCCGGTTATATCAATAACCCAAATTATTGAGACTTCGATGTCAACCAAAGGGCAACATTAGTACTTAGAATGAGTGAAATGAAAATTAAGTGTGTTTCAGATCAATTTATTGCCTCTTCTAAAGACTCAAATTATCCTGTCATCTTTCTAAAGAAATGATACTTTGAATAATTAAAAAACAAACCCAAACCACCACCCCTTCCATAAGTCCATGTCAGCCTCACTAATTTGTTTGTAATTCTATGGATTCATGAAATTGAGGATTCCAAGAAATTTTTAAAACATGGGAGCTTGGTGGTAGATTCCTGACACCTTGGTTCGCTCATCTATCAAAGGAGATAGCAAATTACCCTTGGTAATCCTCAGGCTGTGAGATTCGTGCCATGCGGGGAGCTCTCATTGGTATATAACCACAGTCACTCCCATAAATGTCAGTCCAGCCTGACTCATCACACTCTTTGGATCATTGCTAGCACTCAGTAAGTACAGGTTGCCATTTTTCAACACACCTGTATCTTCTGGTCACACTTGAAAGTCTCTAGGCTACAATATCTAATACCCAGAGAGCAAACAACCCTTTATGTACATGTTCCTGCCAGGCGTCTTCATTTGTTTGTGACGGTGTTGTCGCTTGTGCATAAGAAAACTGACCTGCAGATGCGATCGTTGTCCACATAGAGCAAGTTATAGAGTCCATCACTGTACAGTCCTAGAATAAATTGCATGGTAAGATTTTATTTCCCACTCTTTCTTGATGCTGGCAGTCGGACCAGGAGGATGATACCGAGCTCAAGGCACAGGTAAAAAGAAAAAAAAAAGAGTAAAGTAAAATCACTGTGTGGTAAGGCATTGTCTGTCTATAGAGTGTTCCAGTCTGTAAACATGCCCCCCATGGTCAGTTCCCCGAGCTGTAAGATGACATTTGCTCCTTGGACCGTATCCCTTACCTTCTACTTTCTTCTCACTTTTTCAGAATAGTCTGATTAAGCGAATAAAGGGTGAAAATGTGTATGTCAAACATAGTAATCTTATGTTAGAGGTTTGTATTGGCACATACCAGTGCATGTTGGTGTGTGGTAGCGTTTTGGGGGCATACCCATGGGCACCCCTTGATGCATGTACTCTGTGCTCTCACCTGTTAATGAGAGGGTGGACCTTCTCAGCCCCCACTGACTCTCTACCCTCTCCTGATGTTAATCCCGCGTCCTGTGTGCATATTTCATTCTTTCTGGTTTTATGTGAATTATATACTTCACCAGGTATGTACTGTTTTGATTTTTATGCTTGTATGAAGTAGATATTTTTTCTCTCTCTCTCTCTCTCTCCTTGGAAATTTCACACTTTCACCAGAGTGTTTGTGGTCATATCATGAGCCCTGACGTTGAAAATTCTGCTAATAAGATTGGCGTAATGTTAATAAAGAGGGAGAGAAGGCAGACGATAAAAAAGATGCATGTAAAAATGTTGGCTTTTTCATTCTTTTTGCTCTAAATATAGGAGCTAGATAAAGCTCAAGAAGACCTGGTGAAACATCAAACCAACATTAGTGAGCTGAAACGGACCTTTTTAGAAACCTCTACAGACACTGCCATAACGAATGAGTGGGAAAAGAGGCTCTCCACGTCCCCAGTGAGACTCGCCGCCAGGCAGGAGGATGCGCCCATGATTGAACCACTTGTGCCTGATGAGGTCAGTACTGTAGCTTGGCGTTGGAATGATCTTCTGTTCATGAGCCTCATTACTTCACAGGGTCTAGAAATGGTGAGAAAGAGTGTTTGAGCTTCTGAGTAGAGATTCTTACTGCTTATCTACGTGTGACTGAAGGAGAGACTCGGTATGCCAAAGGAAGGCTGCAAAGGGAATGGTTAGGTGGCTTATCAAAAGCAGCTAGATGATAATTTCAGTAAATGAGAAAGTGAGAGGCTCCACAGCAAATTGGCTCCTTCCAACCTAACATTTTACTGCAGGGAGAAATTGAGACACTATCGTAAGGAACTGACTCTTCGTGAATATATTTGCTAATGCTACATTAACAAATCCCCTGAAAACTCATAGATGGTTTTCATCGATTATGAGACCTTTTCGGATTATGTCAAGGCTTGAGTGAGTGGCAATCTGAAGTTCATATTGTTTCAGGTGTAGTTTCGATTCAATAGCAGGTTTTTTCTCTTGAGTACACATCAGTATCTGACCTGGTTTTTAATGGCCAAAGGTAGGGGCTAGAAATGTCTTTTTAATTAGGATCAGTGTGAGGGTTCTGCTGTTGCCTCGGGGCTCCCACTGTGGCCTGCACAGATTGCTGTCATGTTGATTTGACTTCCGTCGGGCATTGTCATGCTTTCTCCTTCACAGCAGCTTTTGGACACTGCATCTTACTAGCATTTATATTGATTTGTCTCTTATCAAGACTCCTTGATTGTGAGATACTTATTCAAGGAGCAGAGAAAAGAAAATTAACTTAGGCCATAAATGGATAAAAATCTTTTAAACAGTAGTCAATGCACACTGTTTAGATCCTTTCAATGAAAATAAAAATCAAATTGTTGATTATTAAACCTTCTTGGAAAGCTCTCTGTCAAAAGTGACCAAGATCCCAATGTCACTACCCCTAGTTAAAAGTTTAACTCTAGTCCCAGTTAAAAGGCAGAGATACATACACAGTGACGTCAAAAAGTTTGTGGAATTCAAAAGAATTGTTCCTCCTAGAACTGTTTGAATTGCTTTGAAAGGGTCCCTTTTACATGGAGTAAATGGAAATATTACAAAAGGTTTTCCTGTACCTCTATGTGCCAGTTCCACCTGAATGGAATTTCAAGAAAGAAAAAATTCACATTCTGGTTGATTTTATTTCTGTAGTCTTTGCATGCTTCAAAATACTATTTGTCAGTTGTGATCACTTAAACTTGATTGTGTTAATGATCAAGTTTGGTTTACCTTGTTTATGTTGTCTATTACCTCCTTTGGAAGTGTGTTGGGTCAGATTGACTAGAGGAACAAATCCAGTGAGACTCACATATGTGTAAGAAAGAGTTTTATATCAAGAAGTAATTGTATATCAGGAAAACATTCCAGCCCAGTCTAACTCAAGTCCATAAGTCCTATAATATTCCATAAGTCCCTCTTCGGACTCATGGAGCCACAGTCAGTGATGCAGGGTGCAGAGTGTAGATCCAATGGCAGTGGAAGCATCACAAGGTTCTCGCCAGTCCCAGAGGGTCTCACCAGCAGGAAGGTGAGGGCAGAGAGAGAAGGGAGGGTCCCAGAACCGTCCTTTGTGAAGAGGCCACACCCATAAGGAGTCACCATCAGGCTGTGACCTGATTGACAGGCCAAACTCCACCCCTACACTTTTATATATCTTCAAGTTGACATGAAATTATGTAACTACCACAGGAAGCAAGCAAAACTATCAGCAGTCTTTTCTAGAGAAACTGGATTAAGTTATACAGATAAACGAATAGCCATCAAGCGCAAAGCAGAAATCTTTCTCCCCATGTTTGTGTAAGAGTGGAGGAGGTTGTAGCCATTTTGAATGGAAGAGTTTAGACTATGAGGGGGCTTCCAAAAGTTGTGAGAAATTGGAAAGAAGACAATGGTGTGTCTCCCAAACATTTTGAAGCCTCCATACATAGTATGTTCAAAAAGTTAACTGGTAGGACTAACAGACTAGGGGATTTAGAAGTGCAGGCTGCTAGAGGAGGTTTTTAAAAATTCTCAGATTAAATTATTTGTAAGAGAGGACACTAGAAGCCCGCGAAGAGCATTATTACTTTAAGAATATGTTACTTTGAGTACACTGAGCGCTCTCTGGATAATAATGAGCCTGGGAAAGAATTATTATTATTATTTTACAAGTAAAAGGTGAAAACATGCCTTCTGTATAAGTGCAAAGCAGTTGACTTATTAGACTGGAGAAGGCAATGCGTGGCATGCTTAGTGACTGCTCTCAGTTGTGGGCTAAGCTGCTGGGCAGAAGCTACACCTCAGGACCTTCATTCCAGTGGAAAGGGGAAATTGTAGAGAGAGCTTGATAAAGTGAAGGATATCTTTAAAAGAAGGCTGATCAGCTGTAAGAAAACCAGCTGTGTGCTGTAGAAAGAGAGCCCTCTGGAGTGATCAGGCGCCGGCTTTCCAAAACTTGGCCCGAGAACAGGAGAGAATGGCCTCCTCCCTTTCATGCCTTCTCGTAGACGACCTGCGGTTATCACGGACATCTAAGCTTTTTTCACTGTATTAGAGGGTCTCACAAACAGGCTCCTATGTCCCTGGATGGTATAAACAACTCACTTCTTTAGCTGCTAACTGAAAGAGGTTTAAGTGCAATTAGAATTTCAGAAGACCAGGCAATCTACTTCTAAAAACTGTCCAGCAGAGTTCTGCTCTGACCCATGGGGCGTGTGATCACCCGGAGCTGAAATTGGTTTAACAACTGAGCTAGTATAACGAAAGACAGATGAGAAGAGAATGCCTCAATCAGCAGTTCTCAACCTGGGGGTTCAAATGACCCTTTCACAGGAGTCACCGATTCATCACAGTAGCAAAATGACCGTTATGAAGTAGCAACGCAAATAATGTTATGGTTGGGGAACACCACCATATGAGGAACTATTGAAGGGTCACGGCATGAGGAAGGTGGAGAAGCACTGCCCTAAATTCTTAACCTGTTTTTGATGTTAAAATCATGGCTTTTGTTAATTGTTTCATGAAGAACAAAAAAGATTATTTTGTCCTCCCAACTAAGCATATAATTGCTCATTTGCTATTTTATTTAAAGGGTATCACTTTAATTAAAGTTATCTGCTAATTCCAAAAGAAGTCCAATTTTTTTTCCAAATGTTTATTTAGAAAATTAAAAAATTTCCCCAGAAATTGAGTTATGCGTGACAATACATACTCTACACATGGGTTGACCTAGATTTTGCTACTTGAGCTTTGTAGCAAAAGTAGATTTGCAGCAGAAAGTAGATTTGTCTCTGAACCGTTTGAAAATACATAGTAGCCATCAGGACAGTGGACTTTGAATAATTCAGCATGCATTCTCCAAGAACAAGGATATACCACACTGAAAAATGTAATCATGATTAAATAATCTCACTCATAAAGAGTTTGTATCATTCAGATTTCCCTAGCTGTTCCCCAAAATGCTTTTGTAGCTTAAAAAAAAAAAAAAGCAATCCTGATTCAATTGATGTATGGATTATGATAAGAGTTGTGCGAGCCCCCAATAAAATGATTTTTTTTTAAATACAATCAAGGGTCTCGTGTTGGGGGTAGCTGTAGTCTCCTTTACTCTAAAACAGTACCCTAGCTTTTACTTATATTGACTTTTATTTTAAGAGTTCAGGTCAATTGTTTTTGGTAAGTCTTCTGTCTAGATTTATCTGATTTCCTCCCCCCTCCCTTGCTTTTTGGCAAATGCACATAGGTGATGGAAACCCCATTTTAACTCGGAATGTTAATGAGCCAGATTTCAGATAGGGATTGAGAGCCTTTCAGCAGAAGGATGAGTGTGGCAGACACAGGCCCGCTGAACTCTCTTGTATGCTTGATAGCTCCCGACCTAACCAGCCCCCCATTCAGTCTCCAAGCCAAGTCCCGCCGCCATCTTGGGAGCAGCAGACCATCCTACTTCCTTTCCCCCTTGCTCCTTTTCTTTTGACGTTCTTGCCTTTTGTTTTGTTTTGTTTTACATTTTCTCCCTCACCTCCCAGCCCACCTTCCACCACACCCCATAACCATCAAAGTCTGTTTCTTTTGGTAAGAACACTTTTTAGCCTGATTTTTTTTTTTCTTTTAGGATAGTGATCTTAGAGAGGTGTCTTTATGTGATTGAATCACTTCACTCAATGTACCATCCAAATTCCTCCGTGTCACAAGTTGACATTTTCACCAATAGGAATTCCATTGTACATCTGTACCAGACTTGGCTTATCTCTTCCTGTACCAACAGGCATCTAGGTTATTTCCATCTTCTTACCATTCTGAGAAATAGGGTGATAAACATGGGAGGACATATACCTGCTTGTGCTCTGCTCCTGTTTCTTTGGGGTATATGCTTAGTGGGACAATTGTTGGGTCACATGGTGTTTCTATTCCCATGTAGCTGAGAGAGTGCCACAGCAGTTTGCATGGAGGTGATACAGCTCGCAGTCCCAACAGCAGGGCAGGAGGGCTCCAGGCTCTCCACATCCTCTCCCCGTGCAGGGGGGTTTTATGTTTCTGAGAATTGGCTGTCAGTGAGGATGTGAGGTGGTGTCACTGTTTTGTATCTCTCGAATGGCTAGTGATAGATAGCAAGCAGTTCTTCACATGTGTCTTGGCCACATGGATATCTTCTTTGATGAACTACTCCTATCCTCTGCCCATTTCTACATTGGTGGATTCGTGTTTTTCTTGTCTACGTGTTGCTGTTTTCTGTAGATTTTGGAGAGTAATCCCTTACTTGATTTGTCATTGCCAAAGTTTTTTTCACCGTATGTGGGTGCTCTTCTCACTCGTTCGTGAAGTCTTTTGATGCACACAGATGCCGCCTTTTTAGGAGATGCAGTCCTCTGTTGTAACTTGTGTGGTTTTCATTGTGTTTCGTAGTGTACTTAAATGCCATGTGGGCAGGCCCGTGCCTGTCCCTCTTTTTTCACTAATGATCTTTAGAGAGTTCTAGGGTTTACATTTAGGTCTTTGATTAACCTTGAGTTTCTTTTTATATATGGAATGAATTATAACTCCTGTTTCATTCTTCAGCAAATGAAAATCGATTTTTCCAGAACCACTTGTTAAAAAGAGTATCTCATCTCCATTGAATGTGGTTAGATTCCTTGTCAAAAATCAGTTGTCTGTGGGTACATTGATTTTTTTTCTGAGTTCTCATTTCTGTTCTGTTGGTCTATCGAATGTTACACCAGTACTAGGCTGTTTTGACTACCATGATTGTGTAGTAAGGTTTGAGTTGTGTAGGAGATTTTTATGTTCTTCTATAGTAGTGACCCACTGATTAGAAGTTTCTTTCCTTTCCATTTAAAGTTGGTGACTAGTTTTTCTTTAAGAATGATGCTGGGATATGAATCAGAATGGCATGGAATTGATCAATTCCTTTGGATACTGTGGCATTTCCACCATGCTGTTTTCTCATCCAGGAATGTAGAATAGTCTCCCATTTGTGTGGGCTCTTTAATGCCTTCTAGTGGGGGCTTGTCGTTTCCTCTGTACAAGTCTTTTGTTTCTCTGCTTAGGTTTATTGCTAACTATGTCCTATTTTGGATGGCTACTGCAAATGGTATTTTCTTCAATTTCCTTTTTAGAGCTCTCTTCCCAAATATACAGGAATTCTATTGATTTTTGTATGTTGATCTTATAGCATGCCATGTTGTAAAAATTTTTAATTAGTTCCAACAATTTTCTTATCAGGTCTTAAAGGATATTCCTTGTATAAAATCATATCATCTGAAAATTGGGTTTATTTTTTTTCTTTGCCAGCTTGCATGCCTTTGATTTCTTTTTGTTCTAATACCTCTGAATGAGACGTCCAGAACTATGTAGCATAAAAGTGGTAATAAAGGGCATTCTTAGCTGGTTCAAAATCTCTGGGGGAATGTTTTCAGTTTCTCTCCATTGAGCACGATGTTGGCAATGTGTTTGTGTATATGGCCTTTAGCATAGAAAGGGATTTCTCTTCTATTCCTATTTTGTTGAGTTTTTTTTTTATCAGGAATGGATGCTGGGTTTTGCCAGGTGCCTTTTCAGCATCAGTTGATATAATCATATGGTTCTCATGCATGATTTATATGGTAAGTTGCATTGGATGTTTTTCTAATGTTGAACCATACTTTTGCATACCTGGTATAAATCCCACTTGATCATTATGTGTTGTTGTTGTTGTTGTTGTTTTTAAATTGTTTGTTCCATTCTGTTGACTAGAATTTTGTTGAGAATATTTGCATCTATGTTCTTAAGGGATAGTGGTCTATAATTTCCTATATTGATAATGTCATTGCATGGGTTTGGCTTCAGGATTATGCTTCCTTTATAAAATGAGTTTATAATTTAGTACTTAGGCATTTCCAGTATTATCCCTTGGATCACGTTTATTAGAGATATACTCACCATGCAGTGATTTGTTGAGCTGAATACTTAGTATTTGTGCATCTTTCTACTTTGTGATTCAGCTCTTTGTTAGCTATACAGATCTTGAATGAGCCTTAAATTGGGCTCCCCCCCAAAAAAAATATCTATGTAAACCATGGATTGTCTATTTATGAATATAGAGAAAATTATTTCCTGTCTCTCAATCTGAGTTCTTTGACTTCATATACAAAACTCAGGGACAACTCTCGATTCATGTTAGGATCACCTAAGGAAATATTTAAGAATATTGATACCTGGGTTTTTACATCAAAGACTCTGGAATGTACCCCACACATAACTCTTAAAAGCTTGTCATATGACTCCAATATACAACCCAGTCTGAGGAATACTGATCCAGCCAAAAGTGAGAGTCAGAGCTCTTACTGGAATCCAGGCAGAGTGAATAACTCCTTTCTAGATTTTGCTTGATGACATAGGGCTTTCTTTCCCATCAATGATAAGAAAGATGGATGTTTATATAAAAAACTAAATGAAATGTTCGGAGTGTCTGACTGACTATATCCTGTTGTTGCTATTGTTGTCAGTTGCATCGAATTAGCTCCAATTCATAGTGTATGAAGTAGAGCTGTGCTCTTGGGGTTTTCCAAAGGTCACCTTTTACAAGGAGATGGACAGGGCTTTCTTCCAAGATACCTCAGGGTCGGTTTGACTTGCCAGCCTTTCAGCTAGTAGTCCAGCGTGTAAGGATTTGCACCGCGCAGCCACTCACTCACTGCCATGAAGCTGATTCCGATTCACAGCAGCACTAAAGGAACAGGGTAGCTCTGCCCTTGTGAGTTTTCAAGACTCTGTTTCTAGGAGTAGAAAGCCTTCTTTCTCTCTGAGCACCCAGTGGGTTCAAACTGCTGACTCTGCTGTTAGCAGTCAAATGCATAACCACTGTGCCTACCAGGTAGGGCTCCCTGCACCACTCAGCGTTATGTATATGTTGTTGTTAGGTGCTCTCAAGGCCATTTTAAGTCATAGAGCCCCGTGTGTTGGAGTTAAGCATTTCCTTAAGGTTTCCTTGGCTCTAATCGTCTTTCCTGGAGCAAATCAGTCTTTCTCTCAACTTGGTGGTTTGAATCACCAGCCTTTTGGTTCACAATTTACCACTGAACCTTTTACACCCCCAAGGACTCCTTAACTATACTCCAGATCCTAACAAAACTGATAGATGTTCAGTTCTCTGTATCTGTACCACTGCCCTTTTAGTAGCTGTACTAAAATGGGTTAGGATTGACCATATGTGGAATTTAATTTTACAGTCTAATCCAATCTGCTACTTTATCCTGTGATTGGATATACACTGCTCTGAATGTAGTCAGCGTGGACATTTTCCATCCCAATACATAGGTAGTTTTAAATCAGTGGATGTCAGATACCAGAGTATGAGGAAAATCACTGCTGCCGGTTTGTTTTTGTTTTTATCAGTTCATTTTAGGAACAGTCTTTAGCTCAGTGATTATAATTAAAAGCCTACCAGGGCTATTCTGAAAAGGATTTGTCATTTTGACCTTGCCACACCCCCATTCACATTTCCATTTGAAAAAGAGACTACAAATGAAAACTTGTAAAACAAAAATCCACACATTAAATAATTATACATGATGACTTCATCTTTCAAATACCTTTCTCCAAGATGTAGTCGATCAGGGATATTTTTCTCCCTCATTTGAAAATGGCATAATTGTTTCATACTAAAAAAGGAGCACGTAGGAATCAGGTTGTCAAAATGTATGCATATCAAAGTCTCCCAGATGTTCCATTGCAACCACTGGCATGTAAATGAGAAACGAGTTTTGAATAACTCATAAAAGATGTTCCTTACAACCATGGTAAGATTTATTTAAAGAGTTCCTTCTTCTAAAACCTTTGAGCTTTCTGTTATTTTCTGACGGAGTTCATCCTTCAACATACTATGTGTCTACTCTGTGGAGTGTACCTAGAGCAGAGAGAGGTGCAGTAACTGGGTTATTACCACCTGCATTATGCCTACTAAATCTTAACAGTGGAATCAAAAAGTTAAAAATATTTCCTCGTGTGATTTAACTACTCTAAAGTTTCTCTCCGTATTACTATCTATAAGAAAAGTCGGATTTGAAAGTGCCTTTTAAAAATCATTCACTGTGTGATTAAATCTTAAAATCTTGGTCAATTTTTAATTTTTATTTTGAGGCAGTAATGAAATCAGTCTTAAGCCAACTCTTAAAGATTGCATATGATGAATTGCAGTGGCTAAGCAGTGATTGGCAACTCTTGTCAGGTAGCACAGGAACTAGGAGTACAGTTGAATACTTGTCAGAAACAGAAATGAGGATATTTATTCTCATAAATTTTTTTTCAAATTCTAAGCATATATTTTCTCGCTTACTTGCAACCACACATATACCCTTCATTTTACTTTGGTGTATTTTTTTAGCATAAATGAAAAATGTTCAAATCATATAAACACACACATTTCCGAAAATAATGTTACTCTTTGGAAATAATTACTAAATATTGAGATAGTTTCAGACTACTTTTTGAATTCATAAATAGTGATTTACTTGTCCATAAAAAGTGAATATTGAGTGTGTATATATGTGTGTGTGTGTAAATAAGAAATATGTAAAACACCATAAAAGCTCTCTTCCTAACTTTCCTTTTTGGAAACTGTCTGCTTCCTCTTCTCCATCCCAACCCCCTTTATTCAAACAGACCAAAGAAGAAAGGGAGATTTCTGAAAAAGTTATATTTTTGCATCAAGGAAGCTCTTCATTCCTTGAGTCTGAGGTAAAAACAAAAAAGCAGTGTCCCAAAAGGAATTGCTCTTCAGACTTCATTCACTCAAATGCCTTTTAGTTGTTATTTTCCTTCCTAGATGTACCTTGTTTAAAACGAAGGTAAGTGTGTAATGTTTGCTTAGACCAGCAGTGTTCAACCTGTAGGTCACGACCCTTTTGGGGGTCGAGTGACCCTTTCCACAGGAGTTGCCCGATTCATAACAGTAGCAAAACTACAGTTATGAAGTAGCAATGGAAATAATTTTATGGTTGGGGGGTCACCACAGCATGAGGAACTGTATGAAAGGGTCGCAGCATTAGGAAGGTTGAGAACCACTGGCTTCGACCCTGGGGACATTTCCCTAATTTTCTGAATATTGTAGTTAGTCAGATTTTTAGTCATTTCTCTGTATGGTTTCTACTCAAAGGCTATTATATCTGTATTGTCTGTCTTTAACAATTTATTATTCTACTCTGTATATTGTATTAAAACTTTGGCTGTCTGTTTTTCTAAGATAGGTATTAGCTAATTTGGATGGTCTTGATTAGTGTTGAAATTTCTGAATTTTTATTGATTTTTTCCCACTAGCCAAGTATGATAAAGAAAATGTGGGAAGGAGACTCTACTGGCTCTGTGGTTACTTCTCGTCAAATAATTTTCCAGAAAACTGTCCCATCAACACTAGAGGTTATTTTTCGATTCATTTCATTTTATCCAACACCAGCATGTAAATAAATCTGCAGTCCTTTTTCCTTAGGGGCACATCTTTCTAGACTCAAGGTTTTAGGCTGTAATAAATATGAAAGTAGAAACACCATAGTTTGAAATGTTAACCAAAGCATTTACCTGCTGCTGGTTTGATTTCTTGGTATTCTGTAACCTAGTAAGCTATTCAACTGCTTAGGCCTTCTGAATAGAAAGATTTCTTGACTTAAATTTCTTCTGCGTTCCTGGAGCTGACAATTTAAAGAGACTTCACGACATGATGAACTTTAGCAGCCCTTTACATGACAGAGAGCACTGTACAGATCATAATGGTCCATCATGGAGGGAGGCTTCGCTGAAGCCCTTTGGTGGAAAATAGTTCATTACAATCCCCGAAACAGACACTCGGTTTTGTGGATAACAAATGCTATGGTGGATTAGCTTCCCTATGTATTTAAGTGTAATTTCCCTAAATGGAAAATGGTTTTTACAGAAATTTGTAAATGCTGACAAATTCTGTGTGCAAATCAAAAGCATGTATTCTTTTTAAAGTGGCAACCGATCTTATTATAGCCACCAAAATGAAAGCTGATAAGTAACTTATAGAACTTTAGTAATGCTTTTGAATCTCAAAATATAAAATAATCACTTACCAGAAGATCAAATACAGTGAACCCTCGTTTATCGTGGTTAATCGGTTCTAGACCCTACCGTGATAAATGAAATTCCACGAAGTAGGATTCCTTATTTGTAAATCAAATATTTTCGTAGTTAGAGCATAGAGGACATGAAAAAACACCCTTT